TATTGGCAACTACGCAAATTGTGTTGATATTTTTTTCATACACGCACCCATATGTTTAAGTGGTTGAATTTTTTTAAATGTGAAGGTGCGGATTTTGTTAGTTTTTGAGATACAACTTTTGAAAATACGTAAAATTGAACTTTTGTTTGATGTTTTATGAACTTTGACAAATATTTTTGTCTTAAACACTGTCTTTATCGAAAAACAAAGTGATTTATATGCACAGAGTCTACTTTCGCGAATGTTTTTTTTTTGAAGAGACAACAACAATGATAAAAGACGAAGCTTTTATTTTTCAAATTAAATAAGAGTAAAGGTTTTTTAGTCTAACTATTTTCGTATATCATATTTAATGAAAAAGCGAAACTTTAATGTATTTAACAAAAAATAAAAAATTAACTGTTAGTTTATTTTCTGAATTCCTTCTCGTGTAAAGAAACGTCTAGTACTGGGTCTTTATAACTATAGTTCCACTTAGGTTATTAAACTTCAGAGACAATGGATTATTTTTGCTACAAAAACATGGATACTTCATTCGAATTAAAGGGATTGTTTATTTTCACCAACTTATTTTAGGCTTACAGAAACTCCAATCTGTTAAAATAACTAAGAAACCCTGTAATGTCAGTCACTTAAAGTCGGCTCGTTTAGTTCGAATATTTTTTTTTTGTAAATATTTTTCCTTGATAACATAATTTGTTCTAGATAGGGTCTGTTCCTAACAGGATAGTAGTGTGACGCATTCATGGAACGTGACTGTTAGAGAACATAACATCTTTTTCTTCTTCTTCGAAGTCAAAATTGTGCCTGTTTTGCGTTTCATAAAAACACTATATAATTTATATTCAAAAAACTTTTAATAAAATTCCACTAATATTTCCAATAACATTAAAACAAATATGTTCTTGGAGCAGGATTGATTTTTGTGTTGCAATGACACTGCTATTGTGAAATTCTACGGTCATCAAAACTAGATATAAAACTGTGATTCCTGAAAGTTTTTGTAATTTTAATTTTATACCTACTTGTAGTGTAGTTAAAAGAAACGTTACGTATCTTGCTAAAGAATACTTTTATAGGAATCACAAACCATTTGATAATATGTTGAAATTTTAAACAATATTTATTTTAATAGAAGAGTTATGACTAATTTTTTAACTATATTAAAACATTATATTATTGAAATATCTCGCAAATATTCCGTGCGTCATGTTATGTTGAAGCAATAAATCGTTACTTTTGATAGTAAGGAAACTGATACGTCAATTTAAATATGTATGTCTGTCTTAAATTAATGTTATGTATTTACCATGTTACTAGCATATATACCAAATTTTAGTACCCAATTTATAAATTGATGTTGCAGACTTTCACGTACCTCTAGATTTACTTAATTGATATGTTGCAGTTATAACGTCGCATTTGAAGCAGCCTGCTATTTCACATTAGGTTACATCATAGATGAACTCAATTTTTAACATTGAAAAAAAGCACATCAGGTCACATATACGAACTCAATTGTTAACATTGTCAATATCTTAAGGTCTGAAATCGATTTGAAAATTTATCAAACTTAATGTACTTGATTTCTGGTGCCAAGCAAGTTGATGATATTGATTTCAATTAATATTGAATGATACATATTAATAATTGTGGTTATTTTCAAATAGTTTAGACCTAAACTTATCAATAATAAATAGTAGACTAGATAAAAACGAACTAATTAGGTAGCTAATTAATTAGTACCTTGGTCTTCTAGATATGACAGAGCCTATTGGTACTTTGTTTGACTTGTTTTCTGAAATAGTAATAAAGAAATGAGAAGAAAATGCAGGAAAATGATAGCAAACTATATGGTTAGACTCAATCAGTGTTATTAATAAACAAGGTTTAGCGTTGGAGTGAATTTACGCTGACACTGCACTTAGTATTAGTCAAAATTCATATTATTAAAAAGAGACTTAGCGAAGGTTAACCTACTACGAGGTTTTACCAGAGATTTTTACTCCTAGGACGCAGTAGGTTTTCTTATTCTCTGTATAATATGAATTTGGACTAATACTTCAATTGCAATTTTATAGATAAATTTACTCATACACCAAACCTTTTTTATTAATAGCACTGAATGCGTTTATGCACAGGGCTTACCTCCAAATTAGTCACATTAAAACAAGATGCAGGGGATATCTAGAATATATTCGGTCATCTACAATTTTTTATATTGGTTTTTGAAATTGGTATACATTCTCAGAAGTTGCTTGTTCTAGTAACTCGTAGTCAATTGATTTCAGAGTAAATTCAAATTGTAATTTTATTCTTCCTTTCTTATTCTTGCAGTACGTATGTTAAGGAATGGTACATATTATTTCTCCCATGTATCCCCATACCTGTTTCACTACAACTATCATACTGTTAAAAGGATTACAAGTGCTCTGCAGTACGTTAAATTTTAAACAGCGTTTTAATGGATTTCAAAGTGTCTACTACAACACTAGAATAGACTTCTTGGGAGATCGGCGCGTATGTAGATCTTAGCTATCAGCACTTTCACATAGTTCACATTTGTTTTAAATGTTCTCAAATCCCAAACGATAATTTTTTAGTATTTTTTTTTTTTTAATTTTAAGATGGAAAACAGTAACAGTACTTAGGTATTATTAAAATTCTACTTTCTTTCTTTACTTTGATGACAGAGAACGGGATTTTAGGATTTTCTATGTTGTATTTGTACTATGCAAAAGTTCCAGGGATAATAGTTTTGATTTAGGGTTAAGTTTTAAATTTGAGCATGTCAAATTTCTTTCTTATTCTTTGACTCGATAAAATTAACATCAATTTCTTATTTCGATTTTTTTTTCTTTCTTAACTATATATAAACATTTAAGAAGATAGTAGATTTATGTTCGGCGTTCTTTTATTGGCTACAGTAGATGTAGTTAGGCGTTGCAAGTGAGTTTGTTTAATTACACCTATTCAATCGTATAGGAGACAGTGGGTGAAAAGCAAAACTGAGTATTATCCTCGGTTGCGTGAGTCCAGAAAAGTCTATGGTCCGATGACACTGTATCATTAGAGTGCTCATGCTTTGTGGTTTTGGTGACAATCACAGTGTCAAGATCAGTATAGCAGTAATATATGTATTTGAACAAAAAACGTAATGAAAACAGACGTGTTTATTTCAAAATATTAATTTTAACAGAAATACTATGTAGTAATGTATATATTATTAATATATCCATTGGATATTTTTTGGCTAAACCGCTACCCGCTTTGAAAATATTAATTGTCATTTTCTGTTATTTATGCGGTATTTTTATTTATTTAATACTAAATTAATAAAAGCCGGTACGCAATCCGCACAGAGATTGCTTTTTTAGCAGTATTTTAAAAAAATCTGTCATACGACAGTAAAATGTAACATACATGAATGATAAGAAGTCGAGCGAAATTTCAAGTCAAAACATATACAATGTTATTTTTTTCGACGATGATGCATAAAGTATGCACATCGTAGTTCGTTTAAATCTTTTTTATGAAATAAAATACAACACTTATATTTTCCTTAAATATTTTAATTTATATAAATGTTTTCCTTTGCTAAAGCCAGTTATTTGAACTCTTTTTCCTTTGTTTCTATTCCCACGAAGGACCTTGACCTTGAACATGTACTAAAATTTGATGCGTTCTACCTTCTGCGAAATAAATTTTGCTTTGTACGCCATATTCATTGATGTTTCGTCGACATGTTTACCTAACGCAAGATATTTAGTATATAATTGTAAATTATGATCACCTAATATTGTCAAAATTAATATTTTGCTTTTAATATTAATGAAACGTAAACCGGTGACATTGTCTACCGTAATTTTTTTTTGTTTTAAATTTGTTTAATTGTACTGTCAAAGTCTTAACTATAATTCGATGACGCGCAGTTAAAACTTGGATGACTAATATCTGTTGAGTAACGATTGAAAAAAGCGAAACCTTCAACCGCGGAACGCTTGCAAACAATACCTACCAACTTTCACCTATTTGGTCAAGTGTCAACGGTATAAAAGTTATTATAATTGTTAGATCAGAACTGGAACTCCTAGAACTATGCTAAAAAATGGATTGTCCACATCACTTCCGGCTTTCGGTATTTTTCTTTTATCCTTTGTTCCATCTATAATGAAATCACTTCATTAGAACAAAAGAACATCCCAAAGCAGACAGGATGTAGGCACTAGGAACTGGAGGTTTGAAAAATTTCGAGAATTATTTATTATACTATTTCTGGTCACGCTTATGGCGCGTTGTTGTTATTCCGAACATTATTATTTCAAGGTTGCGCGGCCGTCGCAGTGAGGTTGCGTAGTGGGGCTCCTCGGTAGGCGTTCGACTGGTATCTCTATCCCTCTTTCGCATTAAGCTTCACTCAGCTTGCTCTGTACTTGGCATTTGATATGTATGAGTCGCGTCAATGTGAATATAACTAGGTATTCCTTGATAGCCATTCCTTTATCATTGTGTTAGTAGGTATACATAGTGTGACTTTTGATAGTGTTACGACGTTCACACCGATAAAGTATTTACATGAACATCGAAGTCTTATAACATAATGCGATCAATCTGTGTATTTAATTGTTACTCAAATAGCTAATATGACTCACACTTATAAGTTTGCACAATAAAAACTAACTTTTTTATTGTACCGCTTAGGTTACGTTAGTACAATTTTAAAATATATACTTGGCTTATTCGTTATGTTATTGAAAAAAGATGAGATGTTTTAGTAAATAAATTAGATTCACTCAATAAAGTTTCACATCTGCTTTGTTTGGAATTAGTTTTTGTTATGCATGGAAATGATTTATCCAAATATGTAGTCATCCAACTACGAAATACTTAGTTTCATCTGTTTAATAGTCTCAATTAGATTTTGATCAGCTTATCTTTTCTACTTTAGATTAGACCTTTACTTTCTTTAATAATAGTTTATTTGTTTGCTGCTTCTGTAGAATTGAATCCTGTGACCTCCAACTGGGAGACACATGGAGGGGGATGCAAAGCAAGATGAGCGTGGCAGCGCCGGTTAAGAAGCAAAGAAAAAAGTCAGAAAATAAGCCACAATCGCAAATGTACGTATAGTGCGCATAGGAATGTTTTACATTTTGTTTATTAGACATGTAGATATAAAGAATTTCATCTATGATATATTTCCATTTTTTATCTTCAAATTATATTCGTAAACTAAGTAGTTTTAGTTTGCAAAATATCACACAATATCATCACTTGGGCTAATTGAACTCTCATCTGATTCATATATATTTTATACAAATTCTGAATTCATATTAACTTGTGAATTTATCGAATAAGAGTAAACGTGTTTGTGTTATGTATGAAAGTGAGAATTTATATATTTTTTTGTTTTCATACCCTATGTCAAGTATCAGTCAATATTATAAATAACGTATAGGTTGGTAGAATAAAAAAATATCGAAATACTATTTGAATTAATGTTGCTTTATGAGTAAATGAATGAATAAAACTTGAATATTCAGACATTTTGAGACTCATTCTCATATGCTCACTCTCACTAACAGGAAATATCACATGTAAAAAAATACTAATGGTCGCTCAGAGGACGAATTTCGCCAAAAAAATGGCATTCGGCACTCATCCAGCCTTTCATACTCGTGTGCGCAATTTAGTACAAAAGGGGGTTCAAACTTTTTGTTTCGGTTATGCATTTTCGGGCTACAATGATTATAGATACTTATTTTGGGCAGGAAATCTCAATGTAAATCGTATCATCTTATTAAACTTACAACAGAGTACATTACATTAGGCAAATCATTGTACATACGATAGAACATCAGTTTACCACAATAAATCAAAATTTTCCCAGTTGACTTCACGTATAAACTCAATAAATTGACAGTGTTGACTTTACATAAATTTGATAAATAATTTACACATTAAACTATGAGTCAAGATAAATAAAAACATTATTTCAATAAATACAACCGAGAATAAATTTATATTGAAATAGATAAATTGAACGAGTATTTTAAATAACACACATTGAATTTTTCTGCTATATTTATGGATGTTTTGTTGGAGTATCTTTGTAGCCGGTTTTCGTTACAGTTTTGATGTCCTCTACGTAATATCAATGATACAATCCAAGCTGTTATGGTCTGCACAGATGAGCGGTCTGTATTTGTCCGTGGAAAACTGGAAACTATCGCCCTCTTTTTTGTTCATTTGAGCGAAGGAGAGGTCGATAGCGTCTCCGCATACGAGTCCTTCGTCTGCGCAGGCTCTTATCGTGACTAGTCGTTTCGTCGTGGCAATCGTATGGGGTCATTAAAATTTTTGGCTTATGATGATTTGAACGATATATTTATGACATTCAGCCCGTTTTGACACTACAATTTTGATCTATTGACAAATATACATTGAAATTAAGTTATTTATTATTTAATATAACAACTTTTGAACTGTTTTATTGCGTGTATTTTTGGAAAATTGTTACCTACAGTTTTTAGATAATTCGGATCCTTTTCAGGTTCACTTGATTATACCGATATGTTTGTCGTCTTATAATAATTAAAATCACAGTATTAGTTATACTCTTAGTTATATCGAATTAGTTTATTATACTAAAAGGTATCTTTATCGTGCTACTACAAATAAGTTCTAATTCAGAAAATTTATTCTTAAGTGAGGCAGGCATTCTCGAATAAAACTTCATATACATACATATATACATATTTATCATTAATTTCTTGATTTACATCTCAAAGTTAATGTAAGGGGATGATACTTTATTAGTAGTTTCGTGCGACGTTTCCACAGAGTTTAATGACAAGATTCTTGAAGGTCGTCCATTAACTGCGGATGGATACACAGGAAAATGTGACTAGCATGAGGCTACAAATAATAGAAAAACGGACGATGACGAACTTATTCAAGAGATAAATTGGAAAGGTTCTCATTAGGGATGGACGACCGCCGTGCCCGATGGCTCGGACGCTGGTTTCAAGGTGTCGCCGTCTTTTGAGGGTTTGATTCCCCGGTGGGGCCAATATAAAAAAATGCGCTTTCTATCTGAGTGTTGTGGTACCTTAACTGTTTCAGACTTCCATTGGATACCTAATTTGGTATCTGAGCAACTTGGTATGTGATGTTGTCTAATATTTAGATGGAACGACTATAGTTTTTGTCATTTGCCACCTCTAATAGGTTTTCTATAATTTTTCAGTCATCATCGCAAGGAGATTTTCAGGAGAATTTAATCAAGAACAGATGTTTAAAATATATACTTCAAACATAATTTTATTTTGAGTTTACATTTGTTAGCGATAAGTTTTTAAGATCAGTAACCAAGATATTAATATATTAAATAGTTGATTATGTATTCTGTAACTTTTTCTTTCCTTTACTTACTTTAAGAAGAAGGATAATTATTTGATAATTTAAAATTATGTTAAAAATATCAATTGACGGTATTATAGTACGCAAAGAAAATTTCGCAAGGCACGTTTATCCGAATCAGATTATAATGATATCCAACGAATACGTTGCATACAATAAACGAAACTAGTCGATACGAGTCAGCGAGGATTTGGGGGGCTCTCCTCAGCGGACCTACCTCAAGGACGGTATATCAAAGAGCAGGGACATACCCTCCAAAACCCTCCGATGTGCCTTTCTATGGAAGGTGATGCAGTAACGCATGTCTTATACCGCTCTTTGCCCTTATATGTGTACCCTTCGGGAACATTCGAGTCTTACCTCACAGATAAGACAAGAATTTTCAATACGACCGGGTATGTGATGCGGAAACCTTCACAGCTCGTCAAGGTTTTTAAAATCTTTAAACACAAACAATAACATTGAAAAATCAAAACAAAGCAAGGCATTTTGCAATATGTGGATCAAATCCACATTTTTGAGATGTAAGTAATTGTTCAAAAAACTTTTCCATCTCCGAAATATTTACAAGCGGTATTCCTAATCAGCATATTTTGTCGATTACCAACCATTGGCCGTCTACTCAAGTGGCCAGTTAGATGACTTTCCCGACTAGTCTGCGACTAGTGGGTCCATCTTTAGTTCCCATTGATTTTAAATTGTCGACATCGGCAAAAAAGGAACACTGCATTTTACTCTGGATATATTAAGAAAGTTCAAGGTTAACTTGTATAATAAGTACAGTTATGCGCTGTTCATTAAGTCGCGTATTATTATATAGTAACACAACAACGCTACATCTCGAACTCCACAAATAAGAAGAATTTGACGACTCATATTAAAAAAAAATTGCATAAGTTTTGTAGTTTTACATATAGACGTAAATTAGCTAGACTGTCATTTATCGGTGTTAAATATTTATATAAATTCTATCGGTATACAGAAACCCTTGGGGGTTATTCATAGAGATAAATAATTCTAAGACGATCAATGATCATATTATAATTTTATGAGACAAACTATCCCCACAGCAATGAAATCAGCTTTTTACTTTGTGCATAATTTTTTTTATGGTTAATTTGAAACAGTCATGAAATGAGACACTCGAATCAATAAGTGTTTGATTCGAAAGCAGTACTTATTAATACCATATCCATACATATATCTAAAGTTTATTTTTTCTAAAATATAATAACTTATGTAATCTTCTGTTGTAAAAATAATATATTCACTTTTCACATTAAAAAGTATATTGTTATATAAATGTTTACTTTTTATTCATAAGATTAAGTTAACAAAACAAAAAAAACATCATAGAGTCAGAATAAAATGAAGTCTGGTGAATCAGTGTGAAATGTGGGTACTTTTATAAATATGAGGAATTTTAGCCATAATAAACAATTCGACATTATAATATAATAATAATATGTATTTGATCCATTTTGTATTCACAATATAATCTATTTATATTAATACAAGATGGGAATCAGTCTATAACTGAACTAAAACTACTGATGTTACTATTTCATTATAACATTTGTGTGATTATTGTAGATTTTTAATGTTGATGTAAATGTTGCAGGGTTATAATAAAAAAAAGGTTTATATATTAAAGATATATATTTGGCGTTTTGAAGAGAAGCAAATATACTAAATAAACCACACTTAATAAACGAATATTATATGACACCATACCACTGACTTCTTATCTCCGAAACTACCGTGCATAAAAAATACAGTAAATAGTTCCTTATCTGTGGATTATAGAAAAACTTTAAAGTCGCGTAACCCATAGCACCTTAGATATCAAATAAATAGATTGAACAAATGCTTTGCAATAGTTTTTATACGACTTCAAAAAAAAAAAAGGAGGAGATTACCCATTGCAGGGGATCAGGCCTTCCTTATGGATGGTTAAGGATGATGGGCCATGACCCTCCACGCTGGCCCAATGCGGATTGGAGGGTATTAACGACTGCAAATGCAGCCGGGACCAACGGCTTAACGTGCCTTCCGAAGCACGGAGTATCTCGAGATAATAATTTTTTGGTCACCCATCCCGTGACCGGCCCTTGCGAAAGTTGCTTAACGACTACGATCGCGGGCCGCGACGCTTATCCACTACGCCACCGAGCTACTCCATTGTACTGTATTTTAATTTAATTAACAACAGAAAACCTTAGCCCGAGGGTTCTGTTAGAATATGCCAAAGTCCGGTCTTTATATTTTGTATACTCCTTCTTTTCGTTCGTTAGGTGAAAAACCTAACTATCGAAATCTATCGTTTTATTAACCCGTCTTATACAAACTAATTTATTGTAACTTTCATTTCATGGCATGCATTGAAGTGGCATAATATATTTTTCGTCATTCACTGAATATTTTTTTGACAAATGCGGAGATTTAATGAAATAGCTAAATTTGTTTTGGGAAATATAAAAATTTAATTGAGATTTTAACATGTCAAATTAACATATATGCGCCGAGATATTTGATCATATCTCGGGTCATATGTATTAGAGTTTATTTAAATAACATTGCAGGTATTATTAAATTTCAATCAATATATTAATAATACAGGAAAGTGTAAAACGAGTTCTAATTTTTTACTTAAGTTCTCCTAAAACGTAGATATTTGCGTTAGCAAAGGGCCGGAAGTCCTCAAAGCCACCTGCGACCTTGTATGTTCTACCAACCGATTATTGTGACACATGTTGTTAAAAAATTCGCTACATCTTTTTCTATTAGTCGTAGTTCGTGTTTTGAATTTGGATATGTCGTATAAGGAGGTAAATTTTGTTATTACAGAAATAAGTGCCACAACGAGAAAAAAAGGCGTGAACTCGAGAACGAGACTATAAATCAACTAGAGGAGCTTTTGGGGACTTGCCTCGCTGAGGTGAAACAACCGGACAAGAACGGCATCGTCCGCGAGGCTACGCGTCAGATCCAGGACGTGCTGCAGCGGCGGCGCGAGTGCCCCGGCGAGTGTCCCTTACGTGCCGCACAGTGCTTGTCGCCTGTGCAAGCTGGCGAGGTCAGCTCCACCCAGCCGCAGTTGCTCAACGTTGGACATCAATACTCGGAGCTCACCACGCTTATCGAGGTAAAGTTTTTTTCATTAAGACATAGCTACAACATGGTTAACTAATTGTACATGCTATTAGTTAGTGTCATTGTTAGAATAAATGCTTTAGGAGTGGACAGATTGTGGAGATAAAGTCCTAGTCATCAGTGTGCGATTTCATACATTCCGAAGTGCTAGGGTTTAATGAGGACGCTAGAACACGGGACAAGGACAGAAACGATATGATTTGGGAGAAATACTGGATTTAGTAATACCAGATCACTGCTATGGATAGATTGAAGAAAGATAGTCTCCTATTTACATAGGAAATATACCAAACAGTTAAGATAATAACTTGTTATTACCACAAAATAGATAATATATATATATATATATATAGCTCAAAACACATTTAAAAGTATATAGCACACGCATTAAAAGTATATAGCATTTAAATTACGTAACACTGATATCATTTGTGTGATAATGTATTTCTAAAACGATCGAAGCCTGGGTTAATAGTCCGATACTGAAATATGACGACAGAGTTAATACCTGGGGAATTCTTTCTGATGAAAAGATAGGCGATTTTTCCTTTGTCGATAAAAGGTGATTCACTCGGATAAAGCCATGATGAGCTTTACATTGATATAGAAAGGAGTAAGGTGGGGTGAAGCTTTATCTTAATATTTTTATTTTATTCTTTAAATATATTCATGTGCATTATTCGTTTTGTTCTTTCAGGCGTTAAAGCACTATACTACTAGCCTCGGATGGGTTTTGCTTGAGATAAACGCTAAAGGAGAAATCGAATGCGTTACGGAAAATATTAAAGAATTTACTTTGCAAGACAGAACTGAGCTGTACAAGAAACCGATTTTCTCCTGTTTGCATGTCAATGATCATGCAAAGCTCAGGCCGCTGCTGAGGAACATCCAGAAATTTGCCTGGGGCTCAGGTGAAGTGGATAGGTTTCACGCTATTCCAGTCAGACTGCTCGTCAAGAATACTAATGGGACTGAAGGAGCTAGGTAATTAGTACCTAATTATGTTTTTAATATAACATAATATTAATGTATATTATTTCACTTATATTAGTTATTCTAATTTAATGATTGGGAACAGGATGCGTTGGCTTAGATGGAGAAGAACAATTGCAATGGTTTTTTTGTGATACGATTTTAACAAATGCTTTACATAGGAATCTTTTCACATATTCTCACTGAAGCATATTACTGACGAGATTTAAACGTTTTTGTTAAAGACTTAAATATATTTAATGGTGACGATTCTGTTATACCACACTTTGAACTAAGAAAATCTTATAACACAAATCAATCGCGTTTTATGTAACGTAATTTCGTTGTTCATATGTAATATAAGAAATACTCCTATATAATATTATAAGTTTACATTTGTTATCTTAGTTGTTTAAAGACTTATTAACGCAGTTTACTTTGATTAAAATTAAATTTAGTACAGTTTGTGCAACAGAAATGCCACCATTGTAATGTATAAAAATTGTATCTGATTTTAGGTATGTACCATACTATACTATACACAATCTTGATTCAAACAAGCAACGCTTCACGGTTTTGTTACTGTTTAATATATCGCTTAATGAAATCGATTTTTTATTATTATTTAAAGTAACCTTTTTACGTTGTGCATCTGTGTAGGTATATAAAAACTATAGATATAGTTGTTTCGAAATATTATGTGAACATATTTTTCTATTTCATTGTGATATTTAATCGTGACCGTTGAACGATAAGAGGCCGATTACCCACCTATTTATGCATGAAAAGTGACGCAAAACTGCAAACTGTTATCACAATATTATACATTGATTAGAGATGATGACTGTGAAAAATATATCAGTAATAATATAGCCTTTTGCCATTTAATTTCAATTAAAGTTCCTTAATGTGGTCAGAAGGTAAAATTGGTAGTATATTCATAATTTATCTATGGTATATGAGTGCGATTGGTTTTGCCTGTTATTGGTACTACAATATTATTCTTATATATCCAATTCATAATATGATGAATACTTTTGATTTTCATGGTCTTCCTCTATTTCATTTCTGACGGCGCTCTTTAAACGAATGGGAAAGGCTTATTGTGTTAGCAACATGTACATGTGTATCAAAAATTTGGACAAGAGTAGTTTTCTTTAGCCCAGTCATCTTTATATTTTAGTAACACAAACTCCCTTAGTAAAAAGCTGCTCCAAAAACTCGGCAAAATCAGTTGGCGGGTCTTCACTGCCGCAACTCTGCTGCTCTTTTCAATCAAAATGACTTTGAAACGTTTTTGACTTTGAACTGCGGAATTTAACGAAATGCCAATATCATAATTGTTACCATCTATTTAATTATTGCACAACTTGTTGAACTTATTGAAATAACAGACGAACTTCCTAATTATTTCTGTTCGTGTTTTACTGACACATTGATTTATGATTCGCCGAAAACCATCTATTCGATTATTTTAACTTCTCTAATATTTAAGGAACAGTTATAAAAATTAAACCTCTTTTAAAACCCGTTAAATATTATGCTAGTGAATACATATAGAACTACGGTAATTAAAACACCAACGTATTTATTTTTGTAACAGGCTACAACATGAATACGCGTATTAATTATCATATTAAAGTGTAATACATTTTTATAAAAGTCATTAGTGATATCAGCCTGCCGATTCACCAATCGAATAACGTTTGTTACGCAATTATTTATACTAGTTTATCTTTTAATTTTGGTCACAAGTTTGTCACCACGTGAGTTATCGTCTCATTAGTGTGTATGATACGAACTGAAGTGATCCGAAGTGAAATGTATGTGTGACCTTCTGCTATTTTGCAACTGTTTATACAACTGAAAACGTGAATTTTAAAATAAAATTTTATTTTAAATCATTATAAAGAGCTCGGAAGACTTCACTTTTTAAACACCTATACATATTTATTTCGAAATCTTGTACTGTTTCTGTCTATTATCCGATTGGAATAACAGAAAATCACTTATCATACACTACATAAGTATTTATCATGTTTTGATACTTTGATTACAGCAAAGATACTTGATACGTATGCTATTGAAAAATTGCTTAGTTGTAGAAAGTTTCACAATTAATACGCTCATTATGCAACCGACAGGTGTCAGATATTGCTGTTGCAAATTTTGTATTGTCATTAGGTATTATAAGGTCGTTGACTCATTTGACGGCTAACATCTGAATTGTTCTCTGTTGAATCGATTTAAATCAAAAAGACAAATTAAAGAGAGTTTGGAAAAGTTTCAGGATTTTCAGTAAAATAGTTGGCGTTTGTTTTTATTCGAAATGTACGTTTATAACTCCCGACCAACTGAAAATGATAATAATGGCCTTTCTAGATATTTTTTTACATAAATGATAATTTTATGTTAAGCGTACTGAATCGCACTCGACTTTGATCATTCAGGTTAACTTTTCTTTCTATCTATACGACATCAAATATAAGCCCATTCAAAGGTTTTGGTGGGTTGATGTGTATTAGGTATTCAAGGTACATATTTTAACAAGTAGCTTGTTATTACCATATTCAAATAAAAATATATAACTATATTATTATATCTTTTTATTTTATATAAGGTTTCAGATTGTAATTAGCATATAGCTAATTTTGTAAAGTAAATATTTATATATTGATATCTTTATTGAACGCTATCCAAAATTAATTTTGTATGTCTACTTGCAGTTTTGGATTTGGTACTTATTACCAGAAAAAATGTAGTTTGTATATTTATAAGATTTACATTGAAGAAAGAAGAAATTATGTTTTTGTTATTTGCATATATTTCGTTTATATGTTTATACGATTGATTTAATCAATCGTATTCAACGATGGCGTCTCAAACGACGTTCCTAGGGTTATCCGTATTTCGGTTCTAATCGAGCAACATTCAAATCAGAAGTTACACAATGGCAGGCATGACGCAGCAATTGCAATATTACAAATTTTCTTTAATTATCTAGAAGCTCGTTTATTAATATTTAAGTTAGACTTTCCTGGATAGGATTATAATGGAAGTATGATCCATAATCACCACGTGGTTGGTGTGGTGTGGTGTGGTTGGCTTACTAATGCAGCTAGAACCAACGGCTTAAAAGTCCAACACCACGGTTGGATAAATAAGAATTACTTTAAATTAAATAAGATTGTATTTTTTCAACAAGGATAACATTGTCATAGCAATACAATAAGACAGCATCATAGTATAGAATATGGCATAGACTATACTACAAGTAGCACTGAGCAGGTCTAGTTAACAAATTTTTACTCTTCTGATGTTGGACCTTGCTAAAGTAAAGAATACTTTAAAACGCAAACCGAATGCCCTAATACAGGGGTCGGCAACTTGCGGCAGTCAAGTTCCATTTACAAAAAAACACGTAAGTGCACGTAGAAATCCTTTAATTTGTGGTCAATAATTGAGTACCTATCATACAATTTTGTAAATGTTAGCTCTTGACTCTTCCGTCTCATAACGTTGCCGACGCCTGCTCTAAACCAAATCGCCACCGAGCTTCCTCATCTGTGTTACCTCATATAACTGTAGTTGGTGGGGTAATGTTTAGCTACGTGGAGAGCGTGATCCACGCTGCGCCGGTGCGCGGCCCGTCCTCGGAGGAGGCCGGCTCCGTCATGTGCGTCATCCGGCGCTTCGAGGACGCGTCGGCCGCACTGCTCCCCGACGACGGCGGCCCGCCCGCCATCGCCGCCAAACCCTCTGACCATATCGTCTTCAGGTTGGACAGCAACTATACCATACTATGTGAGTACACCTTTATAGTTTCAGTAAGATGATATTACTTGGCGCTCTTTCACCCACCATAAGAGAAAATATAAAAACTTGCCTAAGTGTCTTGTATTTTTTTAATGATGATATAGTACTAGAATAATTTTAATTTCTAATCTTGCCGGTTTTAAATGTAACTATCTAAAATAATGTAATACCTCTCTCTTTTATTCAGGATCAACCAATTTTTATTGTAAACCACTTTCCTTTTCAGCTTGTGATCTAAGTGCTGTGGAAAACAATTTAAACTCTCCCGTGTCTATCGTTGGTACACGTTATTTGGAACTAGTTGAAAGTGGTGATAGACTTCGTGTAGTAGGACATTTGCGGGAAGCTCAGTGTTATCCCGCTCCTCCCGCAGTGACTGATCCTTTTCGCATCCGCATCGCTGCCGATCGACCTTGGCTCAGAGTCACTGCTCGCTCGCGATTGTTTCGGGCTAAACCGACTTCCGGCGATCCCGATTTTATAATGTCTACTCATACCGTTCTCGGCGACGAAGAATTGGATCTCCTCGAAGCGGAGAATCCCCGCCCGACTGTGGGCGGTCCGTTGATGACCTCCGTCGCGAACGGGGAGTCGTCCGCATGCGATCCACGGTATCGCTCGTCTATAAGTCCTGCCGAACCGCCGCCGTTCTCCATCAACGATTTCGATCTCGAGCCTTGGACTTCGTCGTTTCCTCTTTCCGACATGTCCACGGACGACTCGAAGGAGCGTAAAGATAATACTACGGAGGGTCGATCGACGCCGTTGACGCCGCGCGCGCCCTCCACGCCGGGCGACGGGCCGATAGCAGGCGCGTCAAACGAAGAACCGAATCGGCTGCGGCTCTTGTTGAGCAAGAAGCCGACGCCGGGCGAGGGTGCGACGAATACCAACAATCGTATCCTGAAGGACTTGTTGAGGCAGGAGGACGAGGAGGCAACGGGCAGTGAAACTTCGGCGCCGCACACGCCTCTAACGCCCCATACTCCTCACACGCCCCATACGCCCGCAGCGGCTCTCTCACCTTTGCATCCAGCGCAGGTTACTATTTTTTGACATATATAAATATAAAGTTTTTTTTACACCCAGCCAAATGTTGAATTTGATTACTTTACTAACGAATGTAGGTCTAAAGTAATGGATGAGTTTGTCTGTTGTGATTAATTATACTAATTAAAAGTTAACGTGTTCTTAATGAAAAATGCTTAAAAATCCACTTTGTCCCACGACCTTTCGCAATCCGGGCGACTGCTCTAACCACTGAGCTTCCCGGGAGCTTACAAGACTGACGAATCTTCCAAGCACTTTTTTCTTTTTCGCTACTAACGAGCGTATTTTCATCAATGTTCAGGTAATCTACCCAAATAGCCGAAAGAAATATATTATTAATATTTCGATTAAGATGAAAAATTTGGTATAATCATTATATTTGATAAATTTTGCATTCACATTATCATTATATTTGATAATATTGGAAAATATTCTTAATGAAAAATGCTAAAAAAATCCACTTTGCCCCGAGGCACTTTGAGATGGGGTTGCGAATGCAAAATTGATCAAATATAATGATGTTGTTAAACAGGGAAGTCAATATAATAGTATTTTCAACGTTTAGAAAGTAGAAGAAGTATTTTATTAAGGTTAATTGACGTTTATAGGTTAATCACAAGCATAATATGGTTAATTATATATATATTATATTCTCTTTTTATTTTATAGATGCATCCTCGTCCGCCTCACTCAGCGCACAACGCGCACGGCGCTCATAACGCGCACAACGCACACGTTGCACACAACGTGCAACACGCTGCCCATAATGCACATAATATGCAACAGCAACAACACTCACACAATTCCGATGTACTTTTGAGGGTGATTATTTTTATGTTATTTAATGTCGTGTTTAATACAGGTGTAGACAGTCAACGAAAATAAATATAGACTATTTCGTTTTTCTGGTAGTGTTTAATATACGCTATTATCGATAATCATACTATTATGCTAATGGTATTTATAATATTGCTTAAACTATTTTGAAAAATTAAACGTGACGTTTCGCTCCTCTTGCTCATATCAGAACTAAGAGAATTCAACCTTATGCATACATAGAACGATAAAAGCTTTCAGAAGGCCGTGACGACAAAGTGACGACTAAGCGACGCCATGACAGAAGTGGCGTTTTCGCGGGAAATTTTGAAAATTCAATTTATTTTTAGATTTCAACTTATTATATGAATTATACTTTTTAGATATATTTCATGTGTATCTAAAAATAAAAAATGTAAAAAAGTTGTCTACACCTTTATTTACGTATTTTATTGCTAACGCTCATCTAGAATACATGAAAATGGGAAAAATTTAGACAATAATGTGAAATGCAATGAAGATTTTATAAAGTTTGAGTTACTTTCGTACACTCCGTCCATGAGTACTCTGTTGATACGGGCACGTAGATAGAAAGCCAGACAAAGGAGTGACGAATCGACATATAAAATACCATTACCGTTGTGTGTAACTATCTTGTCCTATGATCATTTTTGCTAATGCCTTAGGGGTCGGTCATGTAGGATATAGACAGACATACATTGAAAAAGTGCGACAAAATAATATGATGGATATTATAATGAGTCACGCTAATAATTTTTATTTGTTCTACAGATATTAAATGATAAAACAGATGAAGATGCCAGGGAAAGAAGAAATTCTGGTGACGGGGGCAGGAGTTCGTCACAACCTAGCGCATTATTATCACAGCTGTTGTCTAGCAGTAATGGTCCTTCCGGTAACGGTCGCTCCCATGATGGTAGTGAAGGTTATATGGAAAGGATTGCCGGTGTCAAACGCAAGCTAGACGAAGTTAAAGTTACGGTTAACAATGTTAAAAGGGCTACACCTGAAAATCAACAGGTAATTTAGTTGTAGTAATGATAATGAAAGTTTTGTTGAAAAAATTGTATGATGTCATTTAACAGACTCGTAACATGAATGGGCCACTTCATGTTACGCAAAACTAACGCCATGAAAATTGACATAGAACTTATTTATGAACATCATTTTTTCTAAATGTAATAATAACGTTTGATTTGTTGATCTGCGAAATTAATGCGCTTTACTTTTTTAAATATTTACAAATATAATTACTCTTCGTTACATTTCTTTGTAATAAAAATTTATCGTTATTTTAAATTTTGTAAACAAATCTTAATTATTTTGAAAAAAGAAAACAAAATGTTGGAGGTTATTTAATGCAAACAAACAATCAATTATTACCACTTTATGATATAGGTATAGATATAACGAATAAAATAACGATATAAAGATAACGAATAAAATAACGATATAAAGATAACGACGCACCTGCATTTAATATTATGTTGCAATAGTTAAATGTCCTCCAACTTTTTCTCTGTTCTTATTTTGTGTAAACAATGTCACGTAACAATTACTATGTACCCTTGAAGAAGTTCGCGGTTTACCACTTTGCATACAATATCCTTTGAACAATTGACATGCATTAATTTTAGACAAGACTCCATAAACTTCAATTAACAACTAATTTGGTATTTTTAGGTTTATTTGGATGTTTATATAAAAGCAGAATATGGAATGAATGTTTACACAAAAAGAGGTTTTTTTTTAACATCACTCTTGTGTCTAAAATATTTTATATCTTTATATTGTGTGGGTTTGTGAAGTTCAAAACAGCCGCTTCAAATATACTATTTTTAAAAGAGAAATTGTTGCAAAGCTGAGGTTTCTTTCGTTCAGGTGACATCTAGTGCCGTGTCCATTGCTTCGTCGTCGTCGTCCTCATCCACAGCGACCTGTCCGGCGACGAGTATGAGTGCATTGTGCCAGAAGAATCAGATCTTAGTGTCGCTATTGGCGCGTCAGCAGACCACACCTACTACACCGCCGCCGCTGCCGAACCCAAACTTACGAGCGTATACAGCTTCTGTAAGACCTCGGCCGCCGCCGCCTACGCATCAAATGCAAACGCCAAGGCATCATCATTCAACCATCACCAATATCTTGGCGGATGCCGCACAGTGAGTTATTTTTTTTAAGTGCTATTTGAATATTGTTTCTGAAGTTGTGGAAAAGATCGTAATGTGTTTTTCAATGAAACTTATCGATATATATTTGGTGCGGGTGCCCGAGCATACATGGCGCACAGAGTCACTTAATGGAGTAATTAACTAGCCAGTGATTTTCTAAGTGGTCCAGGTGTTCACGAAAGATTCAACGGGGGTCTACGTTGACGTGAAATAAAAATGGGGCGCCAATTTCCATCGTTAGATCTTCACATTTTGGACGAATATTGGGAATATGTAAAAAAATGTACCAGCAGGGGGCAGCATCGAAACCAGTAAATATTTTAAAATTGTCTACGAGGAAAAATTGTTTGGGAACCTCTGAACTAGCCTATTGTTATGGTTTGTTTTCGCAGTAGAGTGAATAACTTGAACGGTGGGTCGGGACCCGGGGGCGGAGGTGGGGGCGGGGGCTCTGGCGGCGAGTGCCCGAGTATGCACGGCGCGCAGAGCCACTTGCAGATGGTGTTGCAGGGGGGCGCTCGTGCCGCTTACGGTTCACAGCCCGCGCCCCCCCTTCACTACGCTACCACTGCGCCACACCATCCGTACAACAATCAGCCACCGTGAGTCACCACCTCAACATCGAACTATTAATTCGTTTGTGAATTGTGCCCCTTGATTCGACAACGGATAATAAGCTTGGCAGCCCAAAGCCTTGTAGTACTAGCCACCCTGATTTTATCTCTCATAATTTAGGTACATGAATTTACTATCATGACAATGTTTATTGAAAAAAAAAAATTCTTTATGTCGTTATAAAATAACATAACTTCTTATTGCTAATATCTGTTGGTATCCCTTGAGTTGGTAATAACAGACCTCATAACATAAAAAGTCTACTCCCATTCTTATCTCAGTTCAATATACCTGCATTAATTTAAGAGTTTGTTTTAGATAAATAAGTAAGCTCGTTGGCGTAGTGGATAAGCGCCGCGGCCCGCGATCGTAATCGTTAAGCAACTTTCGCAAGGGTCGGTCACGGGATGGGTGACCAAAAATTATTATCTCGAGCTACTCCGTGCTTCGGAAGGCACGTTAAGCCGTTGGTCCCGGCTGCATTTGCAGTCGTTAATACCCTCCAATCCGCATTGGGCCAGCGTGGAGGGTCATGGCCCATCCTCCTTAACCATCCATAAGGAAGGATTAAGATTACCAGTACCTGGTTTTTCAGTATTCAGCATTTTGTAAACAATATTTTATGCAATTATTTTCCGTCTGTAATATCTGACCGCCGTAGGTTCGGGCCTACTGTGGCCTTAGGGTAAATCCACCAATGATGCTCAGAATAATTTTGACTTCCGACACTTTAATTTTAAAAATTATTGTGTTAGTATTTTGTCCATGCAGAAATTAAATCACATCTTGCACGGATTCACTCCTAAATTGAAATTCATGCAATAGATGGAGGTAAAGTGCAGTACATAATTTCTATTTTGTTTTTAAATCGAGGGGTATATAAGGAACTAAATATAAAAATATTTTTGGCCATATATGTGTTAATAACCTGCAACCCATAGATTTCTATGTTTATGATTATAATTTTTTTAGTAATGGCTTTTTCCTATCCAGTAGCAAGACGACCTACAGTTCTCGCATCTATTAATTTCACAACTTCATACCACATAGATTTTCACTCATAAAGTTTTACACATTTTAGATTATTAGTTAAATTATATCAGGGAAGATTGACATACGCCTTACAACAATATTTCAATTCCCTTTATGCGTTTTAGAAGTAGCAGTAATCGTGCTCAAGGTGGAACGGGTGCCGGCGACAGCGAGGTACCAAGTGACCAGACACTGTCAGATATTTTAGATGAGGTCATAGAAAATATGCCAGATGCTGATCGAAATGCGCCTGAGGTAAAATATACAGCGACCATAAAATGAATAAAAATCAATAACGTTGAACTTATTAATTTACCCTATTTCACAACTACGTCGTATATCCATATTCGTGACACTGATAAATAAGTAATTAATCATATAAAAGTGACTGAAGTAGTAAAACTTGTTGCGATATACTTGCGCATAGTGATTTTATTTCTGTGACCATATCTGTTTAAATTTATGATAAACACTAATTAATTCATTGACAGTTATATACCGCCATATCACTTGACGTGACACGTGATAAAAATAGTATTTAATTGTTTCAGTCCGTTAAAGAGAAAACCGCAATGATAAATGAAATACGGAAAAGTCTTATGCAATGCGAGACCGTCAGTAAAAGTCCCGTATCGAGTCCGGGTACTCCGCCCGTGTATCCCGTCCAAAGTCCGGTAAGTTCTTTTCACATTTTTTATTTATATGTTTTTGGAGAATAGTATTGCAATTTTAATATTATAAATACGAAAGTACAGACTTTTTGTTACATCTTATGGTCATTGAAACAAGATTCAATTTTAGCCATACATTCGGTAATCATCGGAGTTGAGAGGTCCTCGTTCCGTAAACGAAGATTCACCATGCTACCATATTGGACCTAATTGTGTCTGTTTAACTCATTTACACGTCTAAATTATAAAGGTTTGACGTATTTTGGATCTTGGAGAACATCTTTTTTTGGTGTGAATTTTATTAATTTGATTTTTTTTTTTAATATTAAGCATTTAATGAAAGATCATTAAATCTTAATATTCAATAAAAATAAAAACACTTCTCAGGTACGCTACTGCACTAAAGTAGGTTTTTGAGATAAAAGAGAAATAACGTCTATTTACAAAATGATTTTTTGATTTCAAATGTTTAACTAAAAATATACTTGAATCAAATTGTAATTTACGATTGATTGAATTGATTCGTTAATGGTAGCGGACGCTCATTAGCGTAATTAACATCTGTTAACGTCAAGTGTGTCGTCACCTGTCCATCGTCAAAGTATTTAAAAACAGGATGTACCATAACAAATGATACTAATTATACTGGTTGACACTTTGAACTTTATCATAATTGAAATACTGGTTTGATATGCTATATTTTGTACTAAACTTAATTATTAGCAAATGTTTTAATTCAAAAAATTTAAGAGTTTTTATCAAGTATCCATTTTATTTATTTTTAGTTCGTTACTACTTCATAAACTATTTGATCTATATATTTTTCATGTGTGCTTATTAGGGCTTCCATTGCTCTTAAAGTGTATGTGGATGATTCTTCACTTATATTATATTGATAAATTTCACTCATATACAGTAAATTATTGTCAAAGGTGGAGGTCGTAAAATTTAACGTAATATAAGGCACAAGAGCATGAAGGCATCAACAGAATGTGCGATCTCAATTTAATAAAATTCGGTTGCTAACTCATAGCAATAATTTTGTCAAGAATATTTCATTATGGAGACTGCATACCCTGGTAAAATATAATATTGTGGCAGAATTCAATTTATGGAAACTGCAGAAGTTTTGAGGCCCTGTTATTATATTCAATTTATTTCTGAAAATCTTGTATTGTGTCAACACCACGTCAGGTTATACGAATATTCACGTGATTTTAAACCTTAATGCATTAAAGATGGAAATTAATTGCGTAAATTTGACATATGTTGTTGACATGAATTGTTGAATATTGGAATGCAGGGCTCGTGTAACATGGGCGGTAGTAGCGCGGGCGGGAAGAGTGGAGCGCCTAGTGCAATGTATGGGGCGGCGGAAGCTGCGCGTGCGCGTGCTCTAGCCGAACAACATAACCGCTTGCTGCAGATGCAGCTCACGCAACAGATGCTCGTGTCCCCCGAGGTAATGCAATGTGCAGTCATTAGATATGGGTAACTAGGCAAAATTCATTACACTATAGTCAGTATGGGTACAGTGACGTTTGTTAACAATTTTTTTTAACGCAATTTGTATTTCCCAATTCATAATCGTTTATCTCTATTAGAAATAAACTCAATAATATCGAGTTTTTGTTTAATTTTTTATTACCACATCACTAAAAACTTCAAATCTCAAACGTCACCATACCATGCTATGTGAAAAATACGAGGTAGAAGTAAAGTTAAGTTTCATTTTGGCCGCTTCAAAAATTCCTTTAAATATCATAAAAGTTATTAAACTTTTCAAAATTCCTGAGTATTTTGTTAAATCACTTGTTTACATTTCAAAAAACATTGGTTCAGGGGGCGGTCTTGATTTTAATGATCCTCTGCATTCTTCTTTGTTCATAATAGTAACAAGGATGCAACTATTGCGTAGATTTTTATCATTGAATCGCTGCTGTTTTGTATATGTATTTTGGCACTACTCAAGTCCCGATTTCATATTTTCTTTATTGTGTCACGCGTCGAAAACTAATAAAGCTGAGATATTATATGCAGTATATATTAAAATTAATAACATCAATGGTGACTAATTATTTATACTAATTACGCTTATATTATTTTGCAGGCTGCCGAACAGCCGCAACAAGACCTTGGTTCTACAATAAATGCCTTGGTGTCAGGTACGCCACCCAACGTGGCTCTTACCCGGACAGACTATCAACGTTTATATCATCCCACTAGTGAGTATATTCATCCTACCGTTAATTAAATCTATTATGACGTCGGATTTATGCAAATTTACCCTTTGTTTACAGACCAGATGGGTTCAAATTATGGTTCAAATAAAATCACTACCTCGCAGCAAAACCCTATGCTAAGTCGGCAATTGAGTGTGAGTAGAAACAAAGTATATATTATTCGGCGACGGTGAATATTGTCTTTATCTAAAATAGTAAAAACTGAATGATTGTATTGAGGTATATTTTTTACATTTATTAGGGTTCTGGATCAAGCGGCTACTCCCATAGTGTAGCGATGGCAAGTGTACATACACCTATGACCCCACAGTATCACCGTGCACAGCGCCCGCAATTAGGTAAGAAACTCAGTACATACAAATATAACATTTCTAATATCGACCTTATTTACAATCGGCGGTATAATGAGATCTCTCATGTTTTGTAATTATTTTACTGTCGCTCGGTGGTAAAGGAAAAAGGGATGGTAATTGAAATATTTAAATTTAATATCCATATTCATAGAAAAAAAATCTTCAGTCTGATCCAATGGTTTCTTTTGTATGGTATGCTTATTATTGAAAATATTACTAAAATTTTCTTTTAAGGTAGACTTAGATTAGACTAGTTGCCGGAAAGATTTTATTTTTCATATAAACGCATGACTCTTCGGTTTTGAATTAAAACGTACTCTTCTCCGCATGCCCCGTAGATTTTTAGAAATAGCGTCATTTATTCCGAATTCGGGAATATACCTCCCGAAGACTAATTAAATTAAACTAATTGCATGACTTTGGCTTTACTCCTTTATATTTCTTCAAAAAACCAGACCGAGAATCAGGTATACCTTTAATCAAGTGGTCGAGAACGTCGAGAAAACTTGTGTATGTATTATATTTCGAAATAACTTAAGATAATTAGTGAAATTTAGCGATGGAATTATGATTTATAGAGGGAAATTTGTAAAACATCAACAACCTCACAGATCTATGATCGTCGACATAAACAACATTGCTCTGTTAGTCTTGATAATTTGTTAAATTTTACTTTCATACATATTTTTTCTACCGCTCGAATGTTGATAACTTTACGTGGAACTCTAATATTGTAGATACTTCAAACAGCTTAAGAGCGTAGCGTCATTCCTTCGTTTTTAAATTAAACATTGATGTAAAAAAATCCGATGGTGCTGGTATTTTACATGTAATCCTGTACCGCAGTTTTTCTCGATCTATGAGTTTCTCTGCGTTCTCGGCGCGCGTTAGATTATTTACGCGGGATCGTCGGGCCGAGTGATTGATGCGGTAGGTAGGTGAGGTAGAGTTGTAGTGTGGTGGGGGTTTGTTTATAACGGGTCGTGTGGCAGTGGGCGGTTACTACGAGGACGGCGGCTACTGCGGCGAGTACGCGCGTCGCACGCCGCTGCCGCACGCGCACGCGCACGCCCATCCCACCCACGATACGCAGTTGCCCTGTGAGTACCTATACACAGAAAGTACCATGCACGAAAGTAAACATTTAATAAATATTATATGAAATAAAACGACTTCAACAAAGTAAATAATAATACTTACATAATTCATTCACTGAACTTCAATACAGTTAATATTCATGATACTCATATTACAGTCGAGCGATTTATATCAATAACCTCCACAAAACTCACATTTTGGGTTTAATTTCATGTTGGGCACTGTACATAATAGGTATAGATATTCTCTGTTTTGACAATCAACAGTCCTAAAAATTAAAAACAACACATTTTTACATACACCCTTATATTCATTCACGCACACATTCGAGCACTTTTCATTCCAATTCACAAAATTTCTCACGTTTATACATACACTTATGCAACTTTTGCAGTGGTAGAATATGCCATCCATATGATTGTATATTCGTAAGTCCACTTTTAGAGTAATACGGTCAGTTCTCTCATCTAGTAGTGTAATTTGAAATGATATACAGATAAACACTGTACAGCATAATGAAAGTTTGCAAAAAGTAAGTCATCAATAAGGTCTCTTTTAAAAACCATATTATTTAGATTCTTTCCCTTAAAATTGAAACCACTACTTTATAATCTTTATTAACCTTAAGTAGCATTACTCAGATATTCAAAAACATTTGGGAAGGTGAGTATATTTAGATTGACGACTACTCTTAGTTCAGATTTATCCTATTTTATTTATTTATTTAAATAGTAACAGATGCTCTGCATGACTATTATTAATCTATGCACTTCTCGCTTGATGAACTTCGCTTTGAAACTCAAGTGAGATTCTATGATGATCGACTAGAGGTCACAATTGCAATTTCATCAGTTTGGATCAGTCTGAGATGGGGGTGGGATGGCAGCAGCCTCTGTGTGGTGGAGCGAGACATGATTTAAATAACATTTTGTTGTAGGTTTATTCAATGTTGAATTTAAAGAATTATATCATAATGAGTTAGTTGTTGTTCTAATATCATTAAAAATTATAAAAAATATTGTTATTATGTAAATTATAAAAAAATCTTCATCTCTGTTGCTGGCTCACTCAGTTGTTCTCGCTCTACCTCTAATAGCGATATTATCATGAGATCTTCAATGTGTCTTCAAACCAAATGTAAAGTCTGCTACATTTATAGTACAGTTCACAGCATTTTCATTCATAATTATCTTTGCGTACACGTTCGTACAAACCGACAATACTATATTACGGTGGATAACTTTAATTGCATGTCAGAGTCGCCGCGGACACTGACTGGCTACTAAAGTTATGCAACTATCGATAATATTGATAAGTAAATTATTGATAATAATTTAACGATAGTTTACTTTTGACTGGCTACGAAGCTTAGTGAATTTAATTGGCGTATATTACAGTGTTTTGTCAACAGTAAAGACAGTAAACAGTAAAAGTAAGACAGTAAACGAAAATAAAAACATATATATATATATTATTTTTGTAGTGTTAAATATACTATTACCGACCGTGTGACCGCGAACAGCGCGGGACGTCACGACCCTCTTACTCATATCAGGACTTAGTGTCTACGTCCCTATTTTGAATATAAATACAGTTTTCGGTGTTTGCATTTCATCTGTGCGGAAAGAGGCAGACGAAACGAGCCTTTTTACATTTTGGAAAGGAATGATAGATGACAACAGAATTCAGACGATTCGGCTCGTATATGTGCTGGTTAAAAGTCCTCTCTTTCGCCGTTTCAATTGCGATATTTGTCCTTATTTTTACGTTCACACGGGCTCACAGTAAGCCTGGTCTCAATTGGCGGAGGCTTTACATTTAGCTTGAATGAAGCGTTAATTTTTAGTGAAGAACTCGTGGTGATATCCTAAGGCGGAAGCTGTATAAACAGGAGATTGCGCATATTTTATACGGTCGTGTGTGCGTGTCTGTTCTGTAGGCGCCGGTAACGGTGGAGGCGTAGTGGGTGCGGGCGGCAGCGGAGGTGGCGGCACCTCTGAATACGTACGGAACGAATTACGCGCCGTAGTCGGCGCACGATCCGCCCGACCTGATCTACAACCGCAGCTGCAACCACCCGACCTCGATCAGCTGATGACCTTCGATATGTCCACCGCTGGTGAGTACTGTTCAGTTTATCGATTCCTGAGCCTGAAATTCATAAAATCAAATTTTTGATATATCGCGAACTTTATGGTGCTCTGTCTCATCTTACTCTGTTAAATTAGAGTGGGACAGACAACAAAAATAATCGGCGATATATCGAATGTTAATTATAACCGGTTTTTCAGCGACCCTATGAATAAACGCGATACCATGAGCGTGAAGCCGTGTGTATTTTTCGTTCCAAAGCCGGCGTCTGCTCATATAAGAAGAAATTTTAGCCGGCATTTCGATTTACTATCTTTTCTGTTTATATGAATTCATGAATGTATGCATACACGCAATGTAAAACGTACAAATACACGGGTGAACGACCGCGCGGCGCGAGCGCTTTTGATAGTTGCACACATGCATAAACGAGCTCACACAAACACACACAGAGACGATCGTAAGTACTACGTACTACGTAAAGTAATTTATTACAATAACCTTTAATTTTATTATAAGTAACGATTAATTTAACCAGTTAAACTTAACATCATGATTTTTATTGTAATGCAAAAACGTACTTACCTGTTCATGTTCTCCGCGGTCTAACTAAGTGTGGCTCGAATTGTGCCCCATTCATCTCAACACAAATTCGAGCCCGTCGCCGCGTCTCTTCGTGAAGTCGAGGCATGAGAGTTGAGTCCTCGATACAACTCGTTCTTATTGTCTCGAATGCACTCACAATTCTTGCCCGCATTTCCTCAGCACTGTCACAAACTCTATTGAACACTTTTTCTTTAACACACCCCCACAAAAAAAAGTCCAAAGGTGTCAAATCAGGAGATCGTGGTGGCCAGGCTTGCGGTCCTAATCGCCCGATCCAACGGTCACCAAATAGTTCAGTGAGACGCTCACGTACCGGCCGTACCACATGCGGCGGTGCGCCATCGTGTTGAAACCAAGCCCTTCTTAGCTCAGCTAATGATATGCCTTCAAGAATTTCATCAAGGCTCTCATTAATGAACCTAAGATACCCAGCTCCGTCAAGTCGTTGTGGTAGAAACACCGGCCCAAAGATAACATTGTTGAAGACGCCAGCCCAAACGTTGACCGACCATCGGGTTTGGTGGCCAGTCTCTTGAGTGGCACGTGGATTGGTTTCAGACCATAAATGTGAATTTCGTCTATTCCACATGCCGTTCCTTGTGAATGTAGATTCATCTGTCCAGATAACATGCTGAATAAATCCTGGAAGACGCTGTTGTTGATCCAACAACCAACGGCAGAAAGTGCGACGACGGGGTAGGTCTTCGGGTATCAAAGCTTGCACTTTATGAATTTTGTAAGGCCGCATTCTGTTTCTTCGCAAAACTTTGTACACCGTCCAATGTGAAACTGAGGGCCCATTTGGCCGCTGCAGTAACTTCGCAGCAGTCCTCGTGCCCAAACGGGGGTTGCGTTGGATCACATCGAGAATACGCTCCTCGGCTGCAATGTCTATTGGTCGCCCACCGCCGACCGCCACCGGAACGATCGGTTGATTCTCCAACAGTCGTTGAAACGCAGCAGTAATGGTTCGAGAGTCTCCTGGATGATGCACATTAGGAAATCTTTCCCGGTAAATTCTCAAAGCTAGAGAAGCATTGCCACGTGCTTCTCCTAAACACATAACCATGTTCCCATACTCACGAGCACTGTACACATACGCATTAGGCATGATGAGATGCACTTATTGTCTAATAAAACTTAAAATAAACACTAAATAAATAAACCTCACACGCTCAACTAAAAACTATGATAACTAATTTAACGAAATAAACTTTAAAATACGCATTCGCAAACCGAGATGGAAAGTTTTTTGCCACCGGTCGGCCTCATGCCTCGCTCATATCAAAGAAGCCGCGATCATTCGTTCTTCAGTTCTTCCTACTGAATATTCGAGTGTTGCAACTTTTTCACCAAATTCCCAAAATTGTTTTAGAAATGAAATCTGCAATTGAATGGATTGTGCATTACGTGTTCGATCAAATTTATGTTTTAACATTGTGAATTATTACAAGAACTGATATCGTAAGTAATTTTTAATAATACCGAAATAAACCAAATGAAAATTGTCTGAAAGTGTACGCTATACTAAATTATTTTTATGACAAAATAAGTAAAATGTTTGAAAGAATGTTGTGCATCATTAATAATTGTTTTCACCGTATCCTAATAAATAAAAGTAAGACAGAGAAATTATTATCCGGGTACCGTTTTTGTTAACCGATTGGCAGGAACATTGGCTAACGTAACTTAACCAACCTTATTTGCGACGCTCTTAACTTATTGTTATACGAATAAATTTTTAAAAGTGATTAATGTTATTTCAATAACATCAACTTCAATTTAAAAAAAAAGTATTTTAATAATACCATGTAATCAAAAATATTAAAAAGATAGATAGATATTTAAAAGATAGCTTACCTTTCTTTAATATCATACAATTTTTATGGGATTTATCCCGTAAAAAAATTACCCAATTAAGGGAAAAAATTAGAGCTGGCAGCACGTGTAGCGGCAGCATGTCTCAGAAACCGGAAGCGGACGGACCGGAAAAGTGAAGCGGCATCTTTTATAAACACACTCACCGGTCACTGCAGTTCGCAATGATATCTAGGGCTGCCACTCATTTCACTTAGCAACTTTAATAGTAATTAATTATGTGTTTAGATTTATAAATAAAGTTTGTCGTAAAAGTACTAAGTGAAGTTTTACAATTCAACATCGCGTTTAATCATGAATAACCCGATAGGATTATACTATTGGGTTAGTCATGGAAAGTAAGTATTTATTAAGAGAAACAACTATTCCGCTTTTTTATAGTTTTCAAATTGAAACAAGAGAAATAATTATGCTAAAATTGAATCGGGAAAAAATTCAATTGGGACTCCCAATAGTTTTTCATAAAGTTTACTTTTTTAATGATTTCACACACACACACACACACACTTCTGGAGAAATGAAGTTTCTTATACATTTAGATTTTGATGAAATAAAAATGATTTAACACCTTCCCCTCATTTTAATGAAATGTATTTATCTGATCTTTTTGTGTTTTATAAAACCTAAATAAATTACTATGCGAGTTAAAAGATATCGTTATTAGTTACATGCTCTGAATAAAATCAAATTATTTTTGTCTTAAACTTTTCTGCGCTAACGTAAAAAAAACTCATTAAAATAAAGCTCACATTTTAAAGACAAGTAAATAAAAAAGTGCACTTATCAAAATCATGTAATGTAAGTTTTATTTTTAAAAATTTACAAAGATAAAAATTTTGTAAATACTAGAGTTACTAAACCGTTTTGAAATGTTTAGTCGAAACAAATGTTTTCCAGAAGAACATGCATTTTATCTAGAAGGTTATTCAAAAACGATATTTAGTCATTAAAAAGTGGCACCCCTTAACACGGAAACACTACCGATTGATTTTGCTTTACACTACTAGATGGCGCTGCATCTATCATTCTCATTCGCTATATCATCAAAACCGCCGCGATTTGCCGCTAGATGTATCTAGAAGTTTACGAGCTTGGCCTGCAGTATCTTCGCTCTCGTTTTTACTTATTGTTATTGCGTGAAAGGGAATGATCATCAATAAATAACAATTTGAAAAAATAACAAAACGCCGTTTTAAAACTACTTTTAGTAATTGCGTTTTCATTGCATTTTCTTAATAAAACACAGGAAAATGGGTACCTAAACTAGCAACGTAGAGAACTAAGAGCTTTTCGTCGCTAGATGTCGCTGAAGTTTCTCACTCGTATCTTCTGTCTCTTTTCATTCTACCAGTGGTGAAGGAAAAAGAATGAAAGTGCCCTTCGAACGTACCAAAGGTTATTGAACTCTCGGGGTCGTCTACCGCCGATCAGCTGATTTTTTCGAGTTTTAATTACATTGCGTTTTTATGGAAAATCAATAAATAGACAAATTTATTGATAAAAATAGTAATACTTAACTTATTTTACATCGCTAAAAATGAAAAAAAAATAAAAATAACATATTTTTTTTGAAAAATAAAGTAATCATTTTTTCATTGCAATGTATCCAGAATCACTTACTCTATCACTGGTTTTCGTTTTCGGAAGCGTTCCCCTAACACCCATATGATAATTTTATGTCGTATATGCTCACATTCGTGAGATATCCTTTTCAACATATACTTCTTTGAGAAGTATGGGCATTATTTATTTAAATAAATGTATTTAGAACTTAAGTGGTTTGTTGTTACGATTACGTTACGAATTGTATTTGATTTAAGAAAAAATGTGTTTGATGTTATCAAAATGTATTTTTGGAAGAACTAGGAGTTCTCTATGTCATTGTAGTAAGGTCAATATATAATGTTTTAGCTGTTTGTTACTATTCGCGGGTGAATGCCAGCTGAAAGACAATCAACGTTATTTGTTAGTTCACTGTAAATTAATTATGAAATGTAGTGCCACTCGTACTCTAAGAATATTAACAAAAGCAATAATTAAAGAATGAAAGTCTCTCTAAAAATGGAATAATACAAGAAAACGATGACTTCAAACGTGTTTAAACAGGACCAGGGAGTAAGCCCTGGACCCAAATCAAAATTTTTTGTAGTTATCTGTAATGTAACAAACAACCGGCTAAGACCGAATTCCCCGAGGGTTCCATGCAGATATTGAAATTAAAAAAATATCGGATTGATTGTTTTACTAAAAATATTTTTTTTTATTATAGGCACAGTAGTAAGTGTAATATAAAAAAAAATCATATAGATACTCATAATGAATTTTAATTAATTGATATTTTTACTTATTTAAGTCATAGTTTCTATCTGTCAATATACAACAAGTCTTTTGTTCAAAAGTGGGCAAAAGCATGTCTTATTGTTATATTTTGATAGAATATCATATATACCTCAATGAAATATTTTTATTCTCAGATCACTCTACATGATGAATATTATTCAGAATTTTCTTCACTAGTTTGAAGAGTTTGTTACAGTCATATCAGATTTGTCATTAGACTAATTAAGAATATTAAAGTCACATCTTTATGTGGTTCTAGGCTTATTACTCAATAATAAATAGGAGAAATTTAAAGGATAGGGAA